AGTTCCTGACGCTTGAGTTGCTATCTGAAGTTTCGAATTTGTTTAAATATTTTTCAACATTCAAATATCTGATTGAAGTTTCAAGTATCATTTCCGAAAATCCGAAGGGAATTTTCGATTCTATTAATCATATCTGATTGCAGTTTCAGATATCTTTTCGAAGATCCGAAGGGAATCATCGAACCCATTCAAATACCTGATTGAAGTTTCAGGTATTATTTCCGAAAATCCAAAGGGAGTTTTCGATCCTATTAATCATATCTGATTGCAGTTTCAGATATCTTCTCGAAGATCCGAAGGGAATCATCGAGCCCATTCAAGTATCTGATTGAAGTTTCAGATATCATTTCCGAAAATCCAAAGGGAGTTTTCGATCGTATTAATCATATCTGATTGCAGTTTCAGATATCTTCTCGAAGATCCGAAGGGAATTTTTGAGGCCATTCAAATACCTGATTGGAGTTTCGGGAATTTTTCTTGAAAGTCCGAAGGGAATTATTCGATACCTTTTATCGAAAATCCGAAGGGAATTTTCGAGCCCATTTCATCTCAAGCATCTCCTCTGAAAATCCGAAGGGAATTTTCAAGATTATTTCAGGTCTTATTTCGAAAATCCAAAGGGAATTTTCGAGCTTTCAAATACTATTAGGAATTCCAGATACTTTGCGGGTTTCGAAAGCTGTTCCATACCCCAATTTTGCTTTCCCAAATCTTCAGGTAAGTAAATGCAAGTATGTTTTCTATTTTTGCATTTGCATTTTCATATCACATCAGAAAATGGGTGTGGGCTCATTGAGATCCCATTTACTCGACAAAAAAGACTAATTTTTCTCATTGCATTTGCATAGTCAAAATTTAGGTATCATTTTGTCTTTGAATGAAATCTCCTCGAGCTCCCCTTCAAAGAGGGGCAGCTGTTGACACCTAAATTTTGGCACATCATTTAGTGATTAATTGCATAGAAAATTAGGGATTAAATTTTAACCCCTAAACAAAAATATCAAAATTTGCATAGCATATAGTTTAGGATCATATAGTTTAATTGCATTCCATATCGGACCGACGGTGGTGAGTAAGCTGAAAATCCATTGCATAAACCGAGCTCGAGCGCCGAGTGAAACTCGGCTCACTCAAGGGATTGGGGGCCAAAATTCACAAGTTTAAAAGGCTTTGGTTGTTTTAATTTGAGCTTAAATCAGCCCGAATTAATTTAGCCCATTTGGAATTAAAATAAAATTAAACGATAAAGCCTAAGTCTAAGCCCATTAGGACGAGTAAGCTCGGTTAATTAACCTAGGGTTGCGATATAAATATGTCGTTATGTGTCATAATCAATGGGCTCTCATAATTTTCGGAGATCAGAATTTTCAGAGAGAGCACGAGAGACACACTTGAGGTCGAGAGAGATAGTCGGTTGCGCACGTGCACAACAGCCACGTCGGCGTCGCCTCTCCGCTGTGTCCGCGCTTCCTGCCGCTGCCGCTTCTGCCCGACGTGACAAAGCTGCACCACCGATCTGCTGCTTCCCTGCTCTGCGACGCCGTACCTAACCGAGAAGTCCCTGTACCAGTCACAACTTTCCTTGTCTCGCCAAGCATCGACGATTATCCCGAGTGACACGTTGGAGGCACAAGAGGAAGACCGCTCTCCCAAATCACGATCTTCACAACCCACGTTGAAAGAGATCCACGCCTTCAGACTTGCACCATCATGACCCCACTTTGAGTTTTTGTTTTTTCTCTTGATCATCCACTAACCGTGAAGAAAATTTGCAAGGGAGAAGCTGGAAAGCACAACACCCATTCACATACAATTTCTTCAGCGAGTTTGTGAACCGAGATGACCAGCTGACCGAGTATCACCGCGAAGCGTCCCAAGCCGCAAGTCTCTCGATTCACCGCCGCGACAGTCGTTGAGCCAAGCATCCTCGTGGCCGCGCCGCCGCCGGTCCACTCGCCATCATCCCGATCCGCAATCCCGGTCCGCGAGTTCAAATTTGGGAATATCCCGAAATTAGGTAAGAAAGCTATCCGGTATATTTTCAAAATATTTAGATTCCTAGTTCAGATATTTTGAATATTCCGTGAATATTGCGTGGATTGCTAGATATCTTAGGATAATGTGTGTTATATCTGCAATATTCGAAAACACCCAAAATTAGGAATCATTCCTAATTTGGCAACGTATCTGGACGACTATCCGACCTTATCCCTAAGGTACGATACACGGCGATACGGAAAATCGTTATCTTATCCATAATCACTTGGATATGATAATAGATTTTATTTGCTTTCCAAATTTGAACAATCAACTTTCTGTCGATATCTATAACCCTATAGATATGACCGTTAGTTTGATTTCTTTGCCTAATTTGAATCTGATAAGAAGAATCTTGCGGATTGCGTGGATTGTTTGAACTTGGTTGTTATCTTTGTTTAATTATTTTCCTTTTAAATAAAGAAAATCAAAAAAATATGTTAGTTAGGATTTAAATTAGAAATTTTGCATGCTTAGGGAATCTTAAATATATCCAAAAGAATAAGATAATTATTTGATTTAAATTGGGATTTAGGGTAGCATATTTCCTAGTTTAAATTAGAAATTGTTTTAATCTTTGTGGATTATTTAGGATATTTAATAATTTCGAATTTTAATAAAAATCCCAAAAAAAAGAATCACTTTAGGATAGATTAAATTATCTTTTTTAGAATAGATTGCATGTTAATTTAGGCATTTTTTTTAATTCCGAAATTCATTCAAAAATAAATTATTTGTCCGTCATTAGAATTAGGTCACGTCGTCGCATGACATATAGTTTGCATGTTAGGCTGTATTAATCGCATGTTAATTTTTGCACGTCATTACATATAGGCTAGTTTTCATTTAAATAAGTGAAAATCCTAAAAAATATTGAGTGAACTGCTTGTTAATTAGAAATCATATTAGGACTGTTGATGTGATTTTCTAGCTAACAATGCAGATGCTTACGTTGCTTCGAGGTAAGTAATTCTCCCAATCTTGCAATTTATTTAATGTTTTGATTATTGGGTGTTACTTTGGTGGTTTGCGCACCCGCATGATCACCTCACATGCTAGTGACTAAGTTAAAATGGATCCAGACTGCCTGCATAAATATTTTTGAAAAGAAAAGGTACCGAAAGGGCGTTAGACTAGATCTAGCGTAACCAAGTCCCCGAGCTTAGAGTCTCTGGTTCGTAGGAATAAAACATATCTCCCTATGTTTTATTTAGGTTTCTAATCGACCTACCGCAAATAGATTAGTGGCGACTCCAAGCATGAAAGCATTTGCATGTTAAAAACTTAAACCCTAAGTTGCGAATTGGTAGGGCTTGGGAGGGCCCGAGTTAGGCTTAGTCTTAACAATCCATTAGCCTGAGAGAAATTTTAGGTCGCGACAATTTTTAAAAGGAAACGTAATGAAAAACAATTATTCAATTAAACCCGAATAAATACAAGTGCGTCTTTCAATTTTTTTTTTAAATTACATGTACAAGTGTTCTAATAATGATTAAAAACAAATTATATCTACGAAAATGTCTAAACAGTCGGTGTATTCGGCAGTTGGTCCCTCACCATGATTCGGATGAGAAATGGTGGTTGCCCTCTTCTTCGTGTTAGGCATGTTCGGCCCGAATCAATTCTTGCAAAAATCAATCAGGCTAGTAGACAGCCATTTCTACAATTTTCATAGTCAAGCTGCACCTATTGCCTTTCATAATCTGTCGAGTAGCACTGAACGTGGACTTTGATGGTGCCATAGAACTCGTGAGATTTGAACAATAACTCATGTTTAAGTAAAAACATAAACAGTTGAAGGCGGTACTTGAACCATAACTCATCTCCTATTATTCAGACGAGCACTGCGATTTTTAATTCGTATAGGTCATAAGAAGGCTAAAATGAAAAGGATTAAAGCTATGAGGAGGAAAAGAAAAGTCTTAGCTTCACCCAGAAGCGTTCTAGTGTTGAAAAATGGAAAAGCGATCTCAAGAAAAGATTCCTTCTTTTAAAGGCCAGCCTCCACCATTTGTTTCTAACATATTTGTACCTACATCGATGGAATATGATAAGCGTTCGGCATGGAACCTGCGACACCAGAGCCAAATTTCAACATCTTTCATACTGCCTTTAAGTATTAAACTAAGTTTAATTTTAGATTCTTGATCTCCTGATGATATATATATGCGTGTGTATAATAGATTATGAGTAATTTTGGGTGAGAGCCTTTAACACAATATCAGTAAAGTTGTTCTTCTGAGATTGCAGTCAAATGCAAACGCATCTAACTGATGCTCTTCCCGGTCTACTTTGGTCTTGAGATATTGAAATACGATGCCATTTGACTTGGTGAAAAGAGGAGGCATAAACAATTAGCAGTGTGAAATGGTATAGTATAGTCAGGAAAGTTTTGTTTTTTTTAACTGAGTAATCAACAAAAGATGTAAGCTCAGCTACATCTGCTGAAAGGAGTAGCTATTGTATAATCTTTATTCTTGGGTACATTTTAGTGAATGCAAAAGGAGTATTTTCGATCAATGAGTAAGAGACTTAAAACCAGGACGGACAATGTATATTGGAGACTAGATGTTGAAGCGGGGATGGAAAGACCGTTGTCAAACTCAACTAAAGGATAAAATGATCCAAAATTTTTAAACATAGGGCAATTCTTGTCAACACTCAGATGCAATGGTAGATCTTAGGAACATTGGCGAAGTGTTCATACTGTCATTTACTTCTGTTGCTTCAAGGAAGAGCAAATAATTCTACTTCGTGTTTATAGAAACATTTTAAGCAACAAAATAAACTCTTAAAAAGCATAAGGCACGGTCTATTTTGATGATAAAAAGGAAACATTCAAACTAGCCACAAGATTGATGTGGGAAAGAATTCTAGAAACATATGGAATTGTATTGAATGAGTAGTATTTGTGGCTATGACTTGTATTGAATGATCTTTCAGTGATATTCTTGGAAAACTGGTGGCCGGAAGCTCAAACATGAACAACACACACCTCAAATAAACATAAGAGCAGGTTTATCCATATACTGTATATTGCTTCACCAAAAAACATCCATCACATAGCTACTTGACCGCAATTTCTTATCAACGATAAATTCAGATACAATTGATCACACTACACAGTTAGGCCTTCTTTCCTGTGCCTTCTGCTTCTCAGTTTCTTGTGCAACCACCATGAGAATGAGTCCATTCTGATCCACATCCATAGCAAAACTGAACCTGGCACCTGCAATTGCAAGCCACCAAGGAACAACAATATAGCCCACCAAAAGTAGAAAAGTATGAACAGTTGAACATTCACAAACTCAGGTACCACTATCTTTGCCAAAGGATTCATAATAAAACACTAACCAGCACGATTTTCAGTACCAGAGATCGACATAATTAAGCAAAGTGGCCGCACTGCTTCTTATGTGAAGACAGTGTACCTTTGAATATCACTAATAAGGCTTGATGACATATGAAACGTCTTACACTTAATTATCAAACTACATACTGACCATTGCCTAGTCATGCAGCTTTCACGCTGTATTCAAGAGTATCATAATCACTACAATTTGATGAAATACGCTTAGATCTTGTACTTGAATTATATTATCATGAGTTCATCTACCTTTTATGAAATTTAAAATTTGAAAGCCACAATCGATAACAATTCCTCTCAAAAATGGTAGATCGCCCGAAAATTCAGTTTCGCCAATTACTCACAAGCAACAACTCTGCCACATCTATAGGATTTCAGATAAGTCTCAACAAAGAAGCTATAACGTGTCAAGCTTCTTGATTTATCTTTGATAAATGATTCGCAAGCGATTGATTCTTTTCAGTAAAGGTATCACAAACCTGCAAGTGATGTGAGCACAGCCCTCAGTCCTCTCCACATAAAATTCGCAATTGGGGCATCTCCCCCATTTCTTTTCCTTTGCAAGCTCCCTCACAATGAGATCCTCACTCCCTCTCTCATCCTCATTCAGTGTCCGAAACTCCTCACATGACACGCCGGCGTGCCACGGCACGGAACACTCGGCACAGAACAACCTATGGCAATATGGGCACTCACTCTCTCTAATCACCTCCCCACCATCAATGTCCTTGATCAAAAGGGCTGAGCAGTTCTCGAAAGGGCAATAGAACTTCTGCGACTCGAGAAACATTGCCTCGCACAGCGATTTCTCCCACATGTAGAGAACATTCTCAGGGAGGATTTGCCTACAGGAATTAATCTGCAGGACGCCCTCACACTCCATTCCTGGGCATCTGATGGTTGTGACAGTGTCCAGGACTTTGGTCTCCACATACCTGCTTATGCAGAGAGAGCAAAAGGTGTGGGAACACACGGTCCCGATCCTGAACATCTCGTTGGCCTCTTTTCTCTCTGCACAAATCTCACAGAAGCTCTCTGATGACTGACCACCCTCTTTCTGAACACCCATCTCAACCGGGTCTATGACTTTCATCTGACTTCTGTTTGGGTCTGCCTCAGCCACAACCACTAAAGACGAGGAAGACCCAGCATTCGTTTTCGAAGGATTCATGTTCATCACGCAGGAGACTTCTAAAACCTCCTGAAACTGCAACTCTTGGGCATATTCATAATCTGATACTTGAAGACCATCAAACAATAATGATAAGAAGAGATCATCTTGCGATAGAAGATCAAGCTGCCGTTCCATCTTTCAAGTTTCTTTTCTTTGAATGCGCTTGTTTTGTGGCTTGTTGGTCTTTTTGAAGGTCTCTTTGTTTGTTTTTATATTTAAAGATGCGGTATACTGTGCACGAAACCTTAGCGGAGAAGTTGCTTTCTATGATTGGGACTTTAATGCCTTCTTCATGAGTTTTTCTTTTTTAACATTTTACTTAATGGATAGTGCTATCGTTTTTGTAAAAGAAAAGTTTTTGCTACGCTAGCTTTGCTTCGGTCAAGTCAAGATGAAGGATATAGCTCTCGTTATGAAACTTTAATTTGTTGCACATATTAAAACAGGAGATCCTGAACTTATATCTTTTTAAATCTTTTATTTGCCTTTCAATTATATATTCCCGCATTTCAACCCCCATCAAATTCCAACCTAATTATTAGATGAAATTGTGATTGAATATATAAATGTAAACAAAAAACCATATTGAATCCGTACGTACATAAGATTGGCTTTGCATGTGTTAGAGTATTGTATGTGTGTATGTATGTACACATGCATGCATGTGTGTATGCATACGTAGACTAGAGGATAGTGTGACATTCCGAAATTTCCACCAATTGGAAATTATGAAATAACTGAGTTTTATGAAATGTGCTTGTAATAAGTTTTCGCCCGGAACTGATCATTCCTAGGAATGCTAACCATTAGGGAAAGGCTAATAGGGGAATTAAATTCGCGTGACTAAAGGAAATTCGATCGTGAATGGATTTCGACCATTAAATCGCGGAAGTGATATTTTGAGCCACTGTTGGCCGATCCAAGGATAGTTAGGGGTCAGTTCGCCACTGTCCTAGTAGTGGATCGCGGGTGATTCCATTAACCCACGAAACGACTTGACGAATGATTCTGAAATTATACCGAACGATCGTACCCCGCGGATCAAGTGATTGATTTTCGCGACTTTAATGATAACCGAGGTCGTCACGCACCGAACGGACTTGCACGTGACTCGATTTAGTATCAGTCACGAGTCGATTTCACGAATTTCCTCAGCAAGCCGCCCGTTAGCTCGAGAAACGCTCGAGTTGCGTTTAATAGAATTTAATTATTGAATTTTTGCCCAAATTGGACACCGGAAAATTAGGAAGTCACGCTGGAACGTTAGGACGACTTTGCACGTGACATGTGCGAATTTTTGGTGCGCTCAAATCCTTCGGAAAAATTCGATTTGGACAAGAAACGGAGGAAGTGACCAAAATACCCCTAGGATTTATTAAAGGGCAAGCTTTAAGGGTAAAGGGCATTTTAGTAATTTTGCCCTAAAATTTTGATTGGACAATTTTACCCTTGGATTTTTGGGAAATTACAAGTATGCCCTTGGATATTTTTGTGCAAGAATCGATCTCAGCCGTCGGATCAAGATAAGATCGAATCGGGACCGTTGGATTAAAATTGTGAGGAAAGGATAATTTGGACATTTCCACATTTGGTCCAAGGTTACTATTTGAGTCAAGATGTCATCTTTCTCTCTCCCTTCATTCTTCTTCTTCCCCAAATTGCCGTGGACAGCCCCTCCTCCACCGTGACTTCCCTTTGGCCGTTCCTCCTCCACCACCGGCACTGCCGCAAGCCGGACCGCCCTCAAGCCGCCGCCTAGCCACCGTTTTTCTCTCTCTCCCTCTCTTTCTCACCGTGGAGGCAAGACCCACGGCCAAGCAAGCCCCACGCTGCCGCCGCTCAAGCCGGACGCCGTCGTGAACCGTACGCCGTCGCCGTAGAGTGCCGCCGCTTCCCGTTCTAGCCGATTAAGTCTAGAACTTAGTAAGTCACACTCTAATCCCGATTTAGGATATTGGGTATCGACGGATAGTTTGATTTGGGGTGAAATTGACAATATGCGGGTGCGAAATATTGGGGTTTATCATTGGAATGTTGTGGCGGGCCTTGAGGATTATTTTTGGAATTTTTGGAGGACAATTTGAGGTGAATTACAAGCTGTGATTTACTGTTCACAAACTACGAATTACTGTTCATGGGGCTGTGATGATTTGTTCGGGAAGCAAGTTGGATTTTTAAAACCATTATTTAATGACGAGAAAGTGTCGTGAAGGATCGGAATTAATTCGACGCCATTTATTTGGAGAAAATTGGCAATTTACGTGTTTTAGGCATGTTTGAATTATTCTGGATGGGGTTGATTTAATTGAGTGCTTATTTATGTGTTTATATAGTGGACATATGTCTGTTTGCTGTACACGTGGGCCAAATTGAATTAATTGTTGATATTGGCCATGTGAATTGTTGAGTGAACTCTATCTACGTGTGACTTGACGCGTACACGGATCGCGTGTGTTGGGCCAGTTGCGTGTGGTAAATGCATATGGAGTATGTGATGAGTAAGGAGAAGTTGTGGTGTGACAAGTGATTGTGGGAAAGTATGCGAAGGTGTGATAGTACGAGAATGGGATCGAGCCGAGTATCGTAAACTCGGGCAGCGATCACGTAGGTTTGTTGCATTTGGCACAGGCTGAGGCTTGAAAAAGCAAGTATGAGAATTGGTCCAAGGCACGATCAACTCGGGTGAGACCGGGATTGGACCGAGGCATCATAAGCTCGGGTTCCAATCATGTAGGCCTGTCGCATTTGGCACGGGCTGAGTTGGGATCGGGCCTGGGGAGTGTGATGCTCAGATCGCGATTGGGGCCTGAGGCGTGAACGGGTACGCGGGGCGGATGTGGTGAATGATCGCAGTGTGCCTAAGGCGTGTACTTCAACGCGGGTCACTGGCGAGGAATATGAAAGAGGAATGAGGATGGAAGGAACAGTGGGATGAGAATGGTACATGCGCGTGTTTGCATCTGATGTAGTTGTGATTGAGTGCGGGTGTGCGCATGATTGAGCCTGACCATATTAATTGATGTGCCTGCTTTGTGATTACTTGATGTACGTGAATGTGTGTGATTGCGTAATTGTCTGGAGGTACGTGATAGCCTAGGTTGGGTTTAGGGTTGTACTTGCTGAGATATAATCTCATGGTTGTGTAAACCAACAATTTTCAAAACCCCGACCTGAGCGATGAACCCTCCACCACCGCCACCAGTACGTTTTGGAGTACCACTGCATATGGAGTATGAGATAGCTGAGTTTCCGATGGGTGACGGGATGACCTGGATAAGACACACGACGACCGTGTTTGTAGAAGTGGGAAAGCTTGCCTTGGATGAGAACCATTTTTGAGGTTGAACGTCAAGTCATCGACTCCTTTTTGATTTTGGTAGTTTCAGTAAAGTGTGCACTGGTAGTCAGAGGTTTGTTTTATTGTATATATGGTGGAACAAGTTGAACAAGAAATGCAAATGTATATTCTCCCAATTCTCCCCAGTTTAAGTTTGTCCGGGTGTTTTATGGTTTCCGTTTGCGCGATTAAATCTCTGATGTTTAGTTGAGGTCGGCGATAACCTGGGACGTCGCAACTGTTCGACCGGAGTCGGGATATCGCGGGCTCGACGGGGGTTCGGGGCGTGACAGGATAGAGCCTATGATTTTCTTAGAACCCAAACTATTTCTCATCTAAGAAAAGCCAAGTGTTCTTTAAAATTTAGTTGGAGGATGGTAACGAAAACAGTTAAATAAAGTGATCAAAGATAAATATGCTAGCAAAAGAAAAGAAAAAACTCTCTTCGTTGAAATAGTTTGTAATAAGGACTTCTCTATGGTGTCAATATGTAAGATTGGAAAATCAATTTTGCATTAGATCTCGTGAAGGAAAATCTCCGAGTTAAATCCAATTTGCGTAATAATCTCAAATTAAATTAGATCAAGTCTAGACTTGAAAATACTTTTGAATCAAATTATTTTAGTTCCAATTGAATCCAATTGGTTCTAGTCAATCTTTTACACTTGCTGTAAATCTCACAACGCAATAATGGTGCAGAAAATGGATAAGGCCACTAAACAAAAACAACAGCTTTCGTATGCTAGGGTATGCATCCTCATTGATTTTAATAGTTCATTTCCAAATAAATTTGATATTGACATGGGGAAGGACGAGGTCTTTGAGGTGACTGTTGATTACAGTTGGATTCCACTCAAATGCAAAAAAATGTAACTACTTTTGGTCACAAGGATTGTACTACGGTTAGTAAAGAAGTCTGGGTCCCTAAAGTCCAAAAAAATAGTGCCCCTTCTACTAATTTGAGGTTGGAATCATCGAGATATAATGCTCAGAACACTTCTGTACCCTCTGGATCAGCCCCCACTATATTGCCCAATTCATATGCCTCGGCTGCTTAGCTAGTTGTTCCTATTGCTGCCGAACCTGTTTCAACTTCTTCTGAGTTCAAACTAGCTGGTAGCAAGAAAAAAGGATCCCACAAAGGAAATAGAGGTACTCTCACCTCAATGACCTCTAGGAATATATTTGCATTACTGGAAGTGGATGACCACTCATATAATTCTAGTTGCTCTGTTGTCTTACCTGGAATTGATGGGGGTGGGTTGGAAAAACCTCCTGATCTATGAATATCCTCTATTGGAATGTGAGGGGCCTTAATTGTAGCCCCAAATAGAAGAAGCTTGTGGATTTTACTTTGTTCCAAGATCCTCATATTCTTATTTTGATTGAGCATAAAATACAGAAGATGAATGTTGATTTTGTCATTAAAAGTAGATTTCAAGGTTGGAATTACACTCATAACTATATGAGTAGTTGTCTGGGTAGAATCTAGATCTTGTGGAAACCATCCTTTCTCAACCTAACGGTGATGGATGTGACATCCTGAAATTTGTCCATTTGGGGTTTATGAAATGCTTGATTTTATGAACGTACTCGTAGTTGGTTCTCGCCCGAAACTGATTATTCCTGGGATACTAACTAATAGGGAAATGCTACTTAGGGATTTAAATTCGGGGTCGCAGGTGATACCGCTGGACCACGAAATGAATTGACGAATGATCCTGAACCTATACCGAACGATCGTGCCCCTCGGATCTAGTGATTGATCCTCGCGATTTTAATGACAATCGAAGTCGTCACGAACCGAATGAACTTGCACGTGACTCGAATTATTAT